AATATTGAACTCACTTCCTTCAAAGCAAATAAATATAATAGTAAAATATCATATTATATTTTTTAAAATCAGCAGAATTAAACTTTATGCTCACCACCTAATTTGAATAATTAATTTTGTAAAATACGAATTTCATAGAAAAGAATATAGTTGAACTGTTGAACTTTATACTTACCACCTAATTAAATATACGCGTAAATTATGAATTCTTATCGAATGTTGATTTTGAATGAACTTTATACTCACATCCTATAAATTTGTTGATTTTTTAAAATAAAATACTTTGGATATTATTATAAAAGGTACAATTTGTGTTTTTATACTCACTCTCTTTATCATGTACATGTTTCAGTTAGTAATCATAATTTTGCAAATAATAATTTTGCAGCTAAAACCCATACTCACGGACTAAATAATAATACGCATGTTTATAATAATTAAAAAATGATTATCATATGAAGAACTAACTTTTTTAAGTAGAGGAAACTGGTTTTACACTTACTTTCTTTAGTTTATATTTATTCAATTAATTGGAAAAGTAATTAAGAATAATCATATTTTTATGAATGAACTTTATACTTACACGCTGGAATACGATGAGATTGTGAGAATGATTAATGGAGCTTTTATTAAGCGTAGATTATTAAAATCTATACTTACTCTCTATTAATGTATTATTTAGAAAATTAATATCTAATACCAAAGCTTATGAATCTGATTTAATGTATTTAGGCTTTATACTCACGGCCTAATTTAATGCGCATGAATGATTAGAATAGAGTTTAAATAGCAAGTTTTATGTAGTCAATAAATAATAAATATAACTGAAGTTTATATTTACCATCTAATACGTATACAGTAATATATATGTAATTATTAAATTTCATAATTCTCTTTATAATAGAAACAATAAATATTATACTCACGCACTGATAGTTTTTTACGATTTGATTTAGCAAATGACAACGATAAAACTTTTGAAATCAAGTAGGATTAAATTCAAAACTTACTCCCTGTTTATCAAGTTCAAGAAAACAATTAATACTGATTGCAAATTTTGGAAAATTTAAGTTTTGCGATAGAATTAAATTTAATTTTATGCTCACCACCTATTTATCGTATAAAAATTTATGAAAAAATAATTAAAATTTGAACCTTTGTAATTATTATTTTTTTAACACGTAATATAGATAAACTTATACTCACCACCTAATTTAGCATGTATATAATTATCAAGTAATGTCTAAAGGCTGTTTATAAATTATAATGCTTATAATTTAATTGTATACTTACCATCTAATTTAATTTTCAATGAACGTAATTGTGAGAGAAGTATTTTTTAATAATATTTACGAAACGTATATTTTATAAGCTGATATAATAAAATTTCATACTCCCTTTTATTTGAACCTAGAATTTAGAAATCTTATTTCATAATAAGTGATACAGTATATTTTAACTTAACTTACCATCTATGTAATACGTATAAATTAATATTAAAACAAATGAATTTTTTTCTGAATTAAAGTTTATGATTGATTATTCCACTTACATACTAATAATTTAAAGATTTGAGTATAAGAATAAATAAATATGCGGACATTCATTATGAAAAGGATACTTACTCTCTTTAATTTAATATTTGCAAACAGTTAAAAGGAAATAATTATTATGGAATCAATTCTTAAACAAATTAAATTGAACTTTATACTCACACACTATTAATGTTATGCATTGAAGCAAATATTTAATGTAAACTTCATATAATAGAATGTTTAAGAATACAATTATATAAACTTTTACTTACTCACTAGTAACAGTGCACATCAGTTAGTTACGATGCTGATTTTATAACTAAAGATAATTGAATTTTATACTTACAAGCTAAAACACAATTCAGTACATTTGATTAATAAAAATAGGAATAATAAATAGATAGTTTATGAAAACTTTACATACTCCCTTTAATTTAAAAATATGTATTAATTCATGAAGTAATAATAAAGAAGGAAGCAATATTAATGACAAAATTTATACTCACTCCCTTTAATTGCATAATTTCAAAATATTAGATATTTGTGAACAATAATTTTATGAACATTATATAAAAGCCAGTACAATACTAACCATCTAATTTAATATTTTCACGGTTAATTAAAAATATATCACGAATAAAAAGATTAATTAATTTATAAATGAATATCACACTCACTCTCTTTAATTCAAATGTATATGAGTTTATAGAATATTGAGTCATAAGTATTAATGAAATTTATATTTTAATGATAATGTAAATTTGTACTTACTGCCTTTAATTAATAAACATAAATTAATCGAAATCATATTCTATTAAGTCCACATTTTACATGTTACTTACAGACTAATAGTCGAGTATGCAGAAAATTAGTAGACCTGATAAATCGACAGTTTTTAATAAATTATTATTGAATTTTATACTTACAAGCTGTATGAAATTATATAGAATAATAATATTTAATTGTAAGCTATTATTAAGTACTGATGAAAAAGATTAACTCATATTTACTCTCTCGCAACACCTTCATGGGCTTTTAATGTCCACGCATCTTTTGGTTTAATTTCCAATAAATTGATATAGTCTGCCAGTGATTCTTTAAAAAGACCCATCATATGATAAGTTTCTCCTCGATATCTTAATGCAAATATATTGTTTGGCTCAATTTCTAGTACTTTAGTAAAATCTTCAATTGCTTCATTATATCTGCCCATAATAAAGTACGCTTTTCCCCGATAACTTAATTCAACTGTATTATTTAGATTAATCTCTATTGGCTTTGTTAATTCATCACTGTTTCGATTAAAAATTTCGATCCAATTTTTTTTTAACAACTCATCATCAATATCATCATTATTTATTGCTATTAATAAAATAATATTAATATTGAAAATATAAATTATAAATTGTTTAGAGCAAACCAAATTTACCTGCATATTTAAACTTTTCGTGCCCCAAATTTACTTTTACAGTTGCATCTTGTGATTTTAGCCAAACACAGGGATTCAAAACACTTTCTATATTCCTAAATGCAATTCCTAAAAAAATGATGGAATTTAAAAACTGGTCAATTTACCAAAATTTAACATTATTTATGTATCGTATAAATAATAATTGCCTTGGTGTACACCATTTTTAGTATAGAATACTGTATTATATTTAAAATTTAAGCAGCATCCAATAATATCTCCAGTAGTAAATGGTGGCCCGTATGGTCTACCATACTCTAAACAGCAAGAGGTTTCCCCATTACTTCCATAATAACCCCATGAAGCATTTTCTGATCCTGTGAATATCACAATAAATAAAACATATTCAATAAATATATAACTCGATTTTTGGCAAAAATTGAAAGTGTAATTACCAGGAACTTCACATTTATTAACTATTTTTCCGCAAAATCCGATTCCAATAATTCTATTAAAAAAATTATTACTAATTGTTAAGTAGTATTAATCCATTTAAAACGTGAAAAAAATTTGGCATTTTACCCATTACTTCCACCGCTCATTATAATAACTTCAAAATAAAGTAATCCACAATTTTGAGGAATTAAACCAATCCTCATCGCAGAAGAGTCATCATTGTTGTCAACAGGTCCTGAAAGGTAATCTCATAAAACAAATTAATTAATTTAATAGCATTTATTCGTTCTCTAATTTAATTTAGTACAAAAATTCGTTATTCGATCTTGACATGTTTATATCCCATTTTATGGGTAGTATGGCAATAATGCTTATATTAAAAAGGTATTGTAACCTACCTCTATTAGCTAATGTAAGTCCGTCGAAATTCATATCTAAAAAAAAGATTCGAATTGACATCTCATGAAGTCGAAAATATATATTTACATATTCAACATAGCATGTACTGTACCTGGATAAAAAACTAACCTTTGCCAGCAATGTTGATTTAAACGAATGTGATTCAAATTTACGGGTTTTTACTTTAGCAAAATACCTTTAAGCGAGAAAAATTATCATTTGATGTCTAATTAGGTTAGCATATCGATTTATTAACTTTGAATGTTATGTAATGTAACATTAATATCCAGTTATGATTGTTCTCGATAATTTGTGTTGCTGTTTATGCATGATACAGTACTACTGTACGTATGAGTACGTATTATGCAGATCATAATTCATTTCTAAGAGTCGAAGCACATCACGTTACCTGCGGCAAATCAAAATCGCGAACGCGATCAGCAAAAAAACTGCGATTTACTTATAAATCCATTTAACCTTTATCGTTATTTATATGTGCCTTAATCTTATCTAAGCCCAACGATGGTAATAATCCGGTCATTTGGCGCTTTATTTGCCATATTTGTGATGCGTTGTACTGTATTTTTATTTATGCGGTTGCTTTGTATCGTCTAAAGCCAAGTGCGTTCACGTGACGAACAGCCAATCAAAATATAAAATTTGATTAACCCAACTCGACGAGACAAAAACAAAGAAAGCCTCTAAACCTACCTTGAAGTACTATTAAAAATTTGCTGAGAAGGTAATTTTACCTATAAGACTCACTAATTTTAACCCCTAACTAACCCTTACCCTAATTTTAACTAAGCAAAATTAGATGAACGCACCTGGCTTTTACTCCTGCTGTAGGGCCACCGAAAATCGGTGATAGCATAATATGCGCATAAACCTGATTTTTATCGCATAGCATATGCGATGGCATATTTTAGATGCTAGAGCAGAATTCACAGAATTACTTAAAATTTCAGGAGTATAATTATATGTACATATATCGATATGTAAATATCATAGTCTGTAGGTAACTTGGTCTTCATAATTCCGATTAGGCCACGCAAAGTTGATTTTTCGTTTTGCATTACATGGATTTCAAAATTAGGGACGGTGTGAAAGTGTGACTGGCTTCTTTAAAGATAAAACTAACTAAATACTACACTATAACACCTAAACTATCTGAACTAATACTTTAATACTTTAAAATTAATCCCAAGACTCCAAGGACCTTATGGTGGAAGGCTTCGAATAGAGGCGTGGAAGACTTGGTCGGTCTTGTGGTAGGTTGCCGGGGTTAATATAAGTATCCTTAGGTCTTTATGGTCTCTTGGTTGTTTTATTGTAGTAATATTTCTAACTCTTAATATCTTTATCTCTTCGTATTCTAGCGTTACGGCTTTTCTTGGTCACGTGGGGTATCTTTTCGATAACTGCGGCTTTTTGGGAATTTAATATTCGGCTTTAATTGGTGATGTCAATTTCGATCATCAATTTCGACGTCACGAGAAAGTAGATCGACGGAGTTCGGATTTTCAATAAGCTTGGTATGTCACAAGAGACTTAAGTCACGGGTAATTAGGTTGATCAATTGTATTGTTCGATAAATTCTGATGACAATAGGTCACGGGGGTGATCTACTCAATTTACTATTTAAGGGAGGTATAAGAATTCCAATACTTTTGTTCTTTCGTTCAAAACTTTTGGGTATTTAACAATAATTTCAGGACACTAATTATGGAATTTTACGATTTATTATAAAGGACTTTTGGTATAGTTTTAAGGGACAACTTCTACTATGTAAACTTCGAAGTTTTTAGGGTTTTTGGTTGGGGGTTTTTTTTTTAATTCAATTTACTGCAAATAGAATAATGATCACATTTAAGGTTATATTTGATAACAAGGAATCAAAAAATTGGGCCAGCAGTCATATTTTTCCTGTCAGTTATGTCGGACAATTACAGAAATTAGGGTCTCCATCAGGTGATACCGGATGAAAATAGCAGGAAAAAATAGATGAACAATTGGCATAATTGGGATCTAAAAAATAAAAATAAAAATTTGAAATTTTGAAAAAATAGGATGGCGGGTAATGCAAAATGAAAAATTAACTTTGCGTGGCCTTATAGGGCAAAAAATATCTTCGGGATTTATATTGATCGATTAATAATAGAGTGTATATCGATTACAAGCTGCAGAGATAATTGCCATCGATTAGGAATTGACAATAATCGATATTGGTAGCTAATTAGTGCTCAATCGATTAAAAAATAATCGATTTTAATTTAGGTTTGATATTAATCGATTTCAATCAAGGCGATTTTAATCTATTTTAATTAGCAGCTTTGTTGTCAATCGATTCTAATCAGTATCACTAGTAATCGGCAGGGGTGCTGTTTATCGATTGACATTTTTTTTTGTCATTCGATTGCCAACTAGCCTTCATTCAACCTGTAATTAGCAGTGTTGTTACTAGCCTTAAAACCAATAAAAATTATTAGCCCTAATCCTCATGTCCAATTGGACGTTTGGCTAATTGGACAAGTGGCTAATTAACCTTAGTTGTTATCCACATGTCCAATTAACCAATTAGCCATATGCCCAATTGGACATAGGGGCTAGGGCTAATTGGATATATGTCTAATTTAATAAAGAAAAAGGGGATATTTGACTCTTGGGTGTATGTTTAGTGTCGTAATCATGCGGTTCGATTGTTACACCAATATAATTAATTAGCTAGCAGCGTAGAAGTAGAACGGAGAGTAATCAATTTAATTAATGATGTATGTAACATTAATTATTATGTATAGTTTATAGGAAAGCTCACAGGTTGAATCAATGAATATCGGGTGCATAGCGGGAGACAAGTTTCCTGTTATGTACCCGATAGTCTGCCATAGA